AAATATATATATATATATATATATATATATATATTTCCTCCTGAGACATTTTTTTTTTTTTGGGATGTTACAGTGTGGCTGCCATATGTTGTTTATATGTCTGATCAGAGCTGTATCCTTCCACGTCTAGTTTCCTAATCGGTAATGATTTTTTTTTTTTCTTTTTCTTTTCGTGCTCGGTGTATGATACATGGGAAGGAGAGGAAATGATGACTTGAATTTACCGTTTCCAACCGTGCTGCACTTAGAAGAAAACAAGCCGAACAGCTATTTAAAGATGTCTATTTTTAATGTGCTTTTCCTCGTCGCTGCCCACACCTGTAGGTGCAAACCTGAAACGAGAAGGGAACTTGAATGTTGGGAGTGTTTTTCTTTATTTTTCGCACATGGGACCAGACCCAGATAAATACAGACACCCGTATATATATTTATACAGAGACCTGTTTATATGCAAAAAAAAAAAAAAAGAATTTTAAAAATTGTTGAGATGAAGAATCATGGCCATAAATGATTTATGATAAACGGATATAATTCCTGAAATCACTCTGCTTTAGACTACAAATTTAAAAGTGATTAATACTTAAGGTAAATGTAATATTTTTTTAGCCTATTTTTGTGGTTGCAGGTGTTGGTAAATACTTTTTTCATCTTGGTGAAAACATGAAGCTAATACATTTGTCACTGTTTATTAAAGGAGTCACACTAAAGTATTGAGAAAAGGGCTTTTGATATTCAAAATATATATATATATATATATATATATTTTTTGATTTAAAGGAATAGCTCAGCATTTCAATTTTGCGCCTGTAAATGATGGCTCTGTCCTGAGAATAAAAAAATCTACCAAATTAAACTTAAAAAGCACACTAATTAGCACCTACATGCTTTATTGAGAAGATGCATTACAAGAAAGTTAAAAGTATTAAATGACGCAACACAGACCGCAATTATTTACCACAATAATGAATTGTTCCTTTAAAACCGTTAAACTAAAAAGACCAAAAAAGAAAAGCCTGAGCATTGATGAAGATGAATATTTTTGGGTCATCCAGGAATGGGATGCATCATAAGCTTCTGTGTATTTTTTGGAGTGTATTTATTGAGCTTGGAGGCTACTTACAGGGAAATGCCACTCGGCTTCGACGTTGCTGTGGTTGAGCAACGGTTAAAATCGTCTCGGCTCCTTCCTGGTGGTAAACGAGACGCAACTGTGACTCTGCATTACCAAGAGAATTGCACCAGAAAAACCCATGAAAGATGAGAAATCCAGACCACCAGTGACTTTTTGCCTGACGCGTCTGACCTTGGGAGCTCAAATATGATGTGAAAAGCGCGACCCCTGACCTCCACGGTTTATAGGAAAGACTTCTGAGAGCCAGCGCTGAATGGTGTTCCCTCTGAACCTGATGTCTGTTCTCGTTTCTGCTCTGTTCAGTTCATCTGTCGGTCTTCTCTGATGCCTTTCTGTCAGTACAGCATTCCAGCCTCTGTGAACTTTAAAACGGGGAACCTGTTTTGTAATCACAGGCACTGTTTAGGTTTCACCATCAAATAAAGTCTACTTTATCTTTCTATTCAATGCGTAATGGCTTCTTTCTTTTTTTTGTTTTGTTTTTTTTTTTCTCTATGAAACATTGCAGTTTTCTGTAAAGATCAGCAGGGGGTGCAAAGTTTCTACTTATTTTTAAATAATGCCTTGGAAAAGGATTCATACTCGAACTTCCTCGCTTTACTATGCACAACCACAAGTTTTAATGAGATTTTATAAGAATAAGTATGAAGTTGACATGGAAAACTACATACCAAGGACATTTGCTACTCATTAAAGCTGTTCTTTCTCTGCCTCCAAGTTCAACTACAGAAAGTATGTCCTGGGTTGTTTGCAATTCTGTCACACTTCAGATCAAAAAGATCTGTGTGAGATGCTGAAATCTTAAGATGTCTTATCACTTAACTTTGCTTTAAACCTTACAACTTATTCCCACACTCATCTGCGATGATTCTTGGTCTTCTTGATGCTTTCTACTCTAATGTCCTCTAAAAATCATCAGAGGCCTTGACCAAATAAATAAATTCCAGTGAATTACGTTCATGTTTTTGGCGGTAATGTGACATAAAGATAAGTTTAAATAAGGATTTTTTTTTTAAACTGTTTTCCCAGCAGAGATTCTTCCTCTGTCTTTCTTGTCTTTTCTGCCTTGCTTTCATAAGTCTTGTGACTTTGTATTTTTTTGTCATTTTCTTCAACCACACACAGCAGCATGCCGTCGTAGTCGGGTAAAAAGGACTAAAAACGAGGAAAAAGCAGGCAACATCTTCATAAAACATAAAGAGCTGTTAATAAAGACCACTTTAAAAGAAAGTTCTGGACATTTAAGGTATTTGTAATGTGATGTTTTACAGATTTATGCTTTAAAAATTTACTGTGTTTTGGTTTTGAAGTTTTTGTGGTTGGCGCCTCCACAAATTAATTAATCCAATATTTTCCCTAAGTCAAAGCGTGATCATTTCTTGGAGTCAAAATGAGGCTTTGAAACATAATGCATGTCAAGCCAAGCATGGTGGAGGCAGCATCATGCTGTGGGTCTGTTTCTAAGGCATGGTGCATCCCACAGTGTGAGGAGTTTAAAAGTGAAATATTCAGTTTTTCCTTAGATTACGACTGGATTGTTGAAACTTTGTCACAGTTCTTTATCCCAACAGGAAAATTATCTCAAACTCACTTCCATGAATGTTTCTGTAGGATTGAATATTTCTTTATAGTCAAGTTTTTTCCTAAGAGGTAAAGTTTTTTAGCTTGTCAAATTGTAATTTCATTTATTATGCATTAAACTTTGACTTAAATTGGGTATATGGAAACATTTTAAACAAGTTAGTCACAAACCAAAGAGCTGAAGCAGACTTTGCTGCTCAGGCAGCTATAAATCATTCCATCTTCTTGATGCTAAAGATATAAGATTTAAAATAGTCATGCCAAGTTTATCACATGAATACAAGGGAGTCATTCTCGGTTACACAGGTTATCTAAATATAGACATTTCTACTGCACACTGAGATGATTGGGTTGTTTCCTAGCAACCCTCCAGTATGCCTCAAAAGTGATGATTCAGTCGTTTTCGTCAAGTTTTCCTCTCTAATTTGTGACTTCCTCTCCCAGATGTTCTGCATCAGTCTGGGCTCGTTACGCCGTTTTTCTTTTTAATCTTGAAAGTGTTATTCTTCAGCAGGCAAATGCCAAGAAGATTCAGCTGGACATCTGATTTTTATTTCAGGTAAATCACTGTAGTGATGCCAAGTGACTGGACCCAATAGAACAGAAGGCTGAAAAAACATCAAAAGCTCCAACAAAGTATCACTTTAAGGATGGGAAAACCTTTGCAGCTGCATTTTTGCAGATTTTTGATTGTTTTTACATTTTCCCCTCTGTCTTTTTTTTATGTTGAATTGTTCATGGTATTTGTCGAGCAGAAAGAGTTCAGACATTTTTAATCTTGGTCTCACTTTTTTATGTGAAAACCAGAAATGTGTACTTCACTATTTAAACTTTAACTGCATGTNTTTTTCCCNTCAAAAAAAAAAAAATCTTCAAAAAAATCCTCAAAGGATAGATTCTTAAAAAAGTTCCAATATAATAAAAGATGTGCTTTAGAGGTTTTCACATCTTAACCATGGGTGTGAATTAATATTCTGAGTTCTGTGAAATAACACAAACTGTTGTACTTGTCCAGTGGCTTCATTTGACCTCAAGACTCTTTCCCAGAACTAACACCTCCAACGCTCCCACGAGTGAGGAAGTCACATGCAAACTCACCGGCAAAACAATGCAATTGAGTCGAGAAGCTGAGCGTGGCTGAAAGAGACAAAAAAAAAAAAGAAATCCCCATTTCATTGGACCAAAGCTTCCCTTTCTAAATTCCTGTTTGAACAGCGCAGGCTGTGTTTGAATGTTTCCGTTGGAAGATGAGCACCAAGAGGTTTAATCGGGTTTTGAAGAATGAGTTGCCAGTGATGTAACCGTGGGACAATGGACTGCATTGATGGGAGACGGCAACAAAGCATGGCAACGCTTTCCGCACTGAATCCGGCGTAAACCTAATTGCATTTCACAATGCTTAAAAAAAACAGTAAGGTTTAAAGCTCAATGCTGTCAGTGTGACAGAGTATGACTTTTCAGTTGAGTGCACTCTAAAAATCTGTATTTTATCTCAATTTATTGGTTTTTTTATGCACTCTTTTGCTATATTGTTTTTGTGTTACCGTGGAGATTGATGGTTACTGTGAAATGTTGCCTTGGTGCAGAGGTGGGTAGTTATATTTAGTAACTTTACTTGAGTAAATCTTTGGAAAAATGTATTTTTAGGAGTACTTTTACTACGCTGTTCTTTTTACATTTACATGAGTATTTTTTTTAAAGAAGTATTATATATTTTGGTCCATCTGATATTGAAATTTTCAAATATTAAATGATTGATGTTTTGATCAGTTACTCTTTACTTGAACAACCTTTTTACCAAATACATTTTTGCCTTTACTTTTACTTTTACTTTAGTAAAAATATGTTGAGGTAGCGCTACTTTAACATACTTTTGGGCAGTCTACCAATCTCTGCCTGGGTGGTCACTAATGTCTACATTGAAACTTGCAGGTGTTTTCATTCAGGCATTTGGTAAAATGAGTTGCTTTGCAAATCGTCAATGTAAAGAAAATCTTTGAGAAGTAAACGAGAGAGCAAATCTGCTGGTTAGTTCCTCTCAAGATATTAAAAGTCACCAGTTAAGTTAGACTGTGCCGGGTGGAAGTTTTGGTAATTTATTAGCAGTGACTGCTTCAATCAGGCCAGTCAGGACAACAGAGGCCTCATCTGAATTGGCTTCGTGCTGAGCTTTTCATGAGCACCTAGAAACCATTAACTCCTCCAAATAAGAAGAAAATGAATCCTACAGGAGCGGAGCCAGCTCATAATGACAACAACAAAAGGCCAAAGGTTGTGTTTGTTTGTTTGTTTGAAGGACTCCTAGCCAGAGTTNACAATAAANCTTTGTTTTAGTATTCAAAATAATTTGTAAATATTTTCAGTCTTTTAAGCACAGATTTAATTTGTGAAAAGTTAAAAATGATTATAACTCAAGAAAAATATCTTCATTTTGCCTCAAAGTGAACTTAAAAAGTTCTCTAAATGCTGTACTTCTTATAACCATGTTACACAAACTTGCAACCTAAGGATGCCTTAAGATTCTTAAAATAAAAATCTGTTTTTTTCTTCTTACATATTTGTTAAAACTTATTTCTAACAGCATAACATGAGACAGGTTCTGCTGGAAGTTTCTTATTGTTAAAAGGGAGTTCTCCTTTTCTTTGGTCAATATGAGGAACTGCTGTCAAGTTCGTGACTAGATGCATCCGGCTGGGTTTCCTTATAGAACGATTTATTTTTCTTGTATTGGTAGCTACGCATTACTTCTGGGTTATATTATGAATGGTCTGTTATAAGGTGAAATATATTCATTCTTTTGCAAGGCACTGCATGTTTCAGACATACTATAACATGTTCAGCTCGTTGACACATTTTAGAACAGTCTCTCTATAATAGTTATCGTTACTAAATTAATATATGGTTAAAATCCTAATAGACTGTTTATTCCGACTGATGCAAAAATGCATGAATTAACTCTAAAAATCTGGGAAGAGTTTTAAAAACCTTAGTGATGGATTTGTTTCAGTAATCGTGACACAAATGACTTTTTTAAAAAAGGGAAAAATGCTCAAAACAACAGCCCCACCATTCACTGTTGCAATTGTTAGGCTGCTTAATTATTTATGTTTTTATATTAAGAATCTTTTCTTTTTAAATCTATGAAAATTATGCTAAAGTAAATTCCTTCACTGAATCAGTTGACCTTACTTACATTATTTGCTGAAATGAATGAGATGGATATATCATAAATAAATATATCTATTCTCAGAGTCACAACATTAAACAATTGAAATGTAATGATAGAATTCAAGTTAAAATAATCAATGATTAACTAACTGTCTCTCTCTCTCTGTCTCTAGAAAATGTACTAAATGCTTTCACACATATTTTAGAGTTAAATCCCCATTAAGAGTGGTAAAACATTTGGGTCAGGCACTGTTTACTGTCTCAGAAGCAATCTTTCGGGTTTCCTCCGCTCTTGGCTCTGTCCTTCCCTCATTTGGAGGGGCTCGTCCGCCTCGGCTTCAACAACTCTATCGCCCTGGTGGGGTTATTCTAGGGTTAGTAGGCTGGTTTTCTGTGGTGCCGTCTGGATATCTCTGTGACGCCGATCTTTAGAATAAAGAACCAAATTGCAAACAATACCAGAGAGCAAGCTTGCTGCATAAAAAGGGTTCTGGTTTCAACTGATGCACAAAAGCAGAAACAGAAACAAAGGTCACTGGAAGATTAGATAGTACTTGAAACGTTAGAGTGAATCAAAAATAACAAAACGGAAAGTTGGACTTTTCTACACACGAGGACAAAATTGAAACTGACATTTACCACTAAATATCATACATTGATTTTTAAATGTAATTCGACAAAACATTTTAAAAACTAAATGAAACAGGCTTGTTTGTTTACATATCAGAGATAGACAGATTTCCATAACAAAAGAATTGCAGGAGGTGTCAAAAGTACTCGCATTCTCTTAAGTACTTATATGACAAAAAAAATAAAAATTCTAGTAAAAATAAAAGTACAGGTTGAACTTTTACTAAGGTAAAGGTAAAAAAAGTACAAGTTTTGAAATAAAGATTGCATTCAGCCACCTCAAGAAAACAGCTGGTAGAATAAAATATTATTTCATTCAATAAAGATTGGGTTAAAGGAGTAAAACGTCAATAAATCTGCTGCTTGAACCTATCTAAGTTAATGTACATTCTTGTCCCAGTCAAGAATTTAATTCAGAATTTAATTCATCCTTTAAAAGACATTCTCCTCTGTACTGTAGAGAATTTTAGGGAGACAAAATTCCTTTATTGAGGTTAAGTTTGCGTGAGAAGCAGGACAAGAGGTGGGTATGAAGCTCTGCAGTGATTGGTCGTCGTCATCATTGTTTTTTTTTTTTTTTTTTTCACAGCTCTTGGTCAAAGATGCATACATCTTTTACGCAGCTCTATGTTTTGTTACCAACAAGGTTTTTCTGGCCCCAGATAATCAGCTTCAAATCTAACATTTAGCGTTCTTAGTTGAAAGGATGGTAGTTTGGGATTGTTTCAGTTTGGATGATTTGCATAATGAGAGTTTTAATGTAGATTAGCACAGTGTTTCTCAAAGTGGGGCCTCAGAAAGTCAATGACATTAGAAGGAAATACTACAATAAAAACATTGACTGTTAGTACATTTTTCATCTTAAATTTGTAATTTTTTTAAACATAAAATCGAACTTACTATCTAAGTTAAAATAACTGTTATTTTAATGTTATTTGCTACGTTCAAATTTCTTTGAAGCTGCTTTTCTCCTTGAGCTAGCAGAGTTAGCATGTAGCTAACAAGCGCGAAATGGACAAATTTCTGACAAGAAAAAGACAGAAGAACTCACCGAAAACTGAATTAGGAAAGTATGAGACAGTATTTATACTAATTGTTGAACATTTGAATAATAAGCTATGAGTTGTGCCGAAATATGGTACTCGCTACAGCACTACACTACTTTAGAATATTACTTAAGTAAAAGTAAAAAGTAGTTATCAAAGAAATGACTTGAGTAAGACTACTTAAGTACAGATGGAGAAATTGTAATGTTATGTGTAAATTCCGGTATTTTACAAACTAGGTCTGAGGGGTATTCTCCAAAAGCCATTAAAGGTTCAGTAGATAAAAAATAACATTAAAGCAAAACTTGTACAAAAGTACGGAAGCCGAGTGCGGACGTTTTCCGCATATACTTTTTCCCGATGGTTTTCTCGAGATAACGAGTCCCAGTGGTTGTGGGAATGGATGGTTGTGCTATACATTTGAACACACCAATCATCCGGCAGTAAGTAAAAGAGGAGCCATTTGAATGTTCTGCAAGCGCCTATATTTCACATGTTTTGAACCAATCTATGTGACCCCGATTGTTCAAACATGTCACCCTCATTAGCCTGGAAATGGGGACAAGTGGGAAGGCCCTAATGGGATGCATGACGATCTCATTATGGGACGAAGTTGCCTCACTGGAGCGTAACATCCCAGGCTGGGATGGTGGGTGTTGGTGCAGGAGGGGAGATGTTGGAGTGTTGAGACTGGGACTGCAGCACCATGAGGTCCGCCACAGAAAGCCCCCCTCTCCTGCTTTTGTTTGCCAGGCAAGCCTCCTTTGTTTAAACCCTCATTAGCAGCACTCAATAGAGAAAGTTTTGCAGAACGGGGGCCGTCGGTTTGCAGCAGCTCTCCTGGCTTCTTGCAGAGCTGATCCTCCATTACTTTGCAAAGTGACAACGGACCTCAAACAGCTCAGGACGGCATGGACCTTACAGATTATGGAGTCGCAGCCATGAGGAGGGGGAGTTATGATGATGCAGCTGCTTCAATGCACCCTGTGAGTATTGATCCAAAATCTAGAGCCAACTTCTGCTTGTTCTGAAATCACAAACAATGGTCTGTACTGGTGACTTCTGTTGTTGTATAGCCAGAACTATTTAAATGTTTCCCATTTAACATTAGCAGACAGGAAGCATGAATTTAATCTATTAAATTTATTGGCGTCCCTTATGATTCCTTGAAAGTTAATGTAACCTAAGTAGTTTTTCAATTCATACTTTACACTTTTTCATCTATAGTTTTCAAGTCCCATGAGATTCATAAGCATGATTTGGAACACACTTCAATAGTAATTAAAACTTGGTTAAATCTACAAGAAAAAGCCTTTTTTTTTTTTTTTTTTTACTATTGCAAATTTAAATGACTCGGCTGGGGCTTTTTCTGGACCTGTGTGCTTCGCCCAGATGGGACTGAGATTCTGCAAATACTCCTGCCGTCGGGTCTGATGGAAAACATTAAGTAGAAAAGCAGTTCATGCTCACTATGGTGGAGGACCTGTGATGCTGTGGGCCTTGTCTTCCAAAGTCCATTGGAGCCTCATTTAACATAGCATAAATATTTGAAGATTTACAGTAAAAGTTATTGGGTCCCTCAGTAGTACAGTTATCCAAAATATAACAACAATAGTTCACCAGATATAAAATTAATCTTCTTCTAGCTGCACTGCGGTAATAAAAGATGTGCCAAATCGTGATTAGTAGATTACTAATTAATTTGTTAAAAACTTCCCCAAAATACTCATAAATGTTATACTGAAATAAAATGTACTGTGTGAGATTATGCATTTCCTTTGGAAACCATACCAAGCATTATTTTTTTTTATCTATCTGTTGTTTAGGAGGCCTTCATACAGACTTTTTAATTTTGAAATATTGTTATTAAATATATGCATGTTAAAAATATTTAGATGAAGTGTGGGAAAGCCAAATTAAAATATATTTTTTTACTATTAAAAGATTGACATAGATAAAAAAAAAATGATTAGAGTAGCAAAAGGACTTTAAACTGTTTTATTTTTATTTTTTAAATAACCAACAGAATGATTAAGAAAAATATTTTACGTGGCTTTCAGTGGAAACCCCCTCCCCAATTTTGTCATTTTTATTTGTTAAAAGTTATGTAATATTTCTGCAAATTAAAATTAAACTACACTTTGTACCTCATTCTACCTTTAGGGGGCGTAGTGAGGCACTTGACTGTTTTTTCCGTCTTCCTTGGGGGAATACAAAAAGTATTATTAATTAAAAGTTTAATTTCTCGCTTTAGTTTTATACAAGTATGCCGAAAGCTTCAAAGCTCACAGTGAGGTTCATTCACAGCCAGAGATGCTGCGGCAGGTGTGTGCCCAGGTCACCGCAGTCCCTTCATGTCCTTCACTTTGCCACGCATGTGGCAGCGGGGCCCGGGCTGCAGACGGAGACCCTTTTATTTAGAACTCCAGTTCCTGTTTGTTTGTGTTTTGCTGTGTTTTCCTTCAGCGTCTATTATGCTTCACCTAATTACTCAGTGCAGCAATTAGAGCACAAAAGCAGCCAGCATGAAAACGCTTCTTGTTTTGGATAAAACACACACAAACAAAAGCTCAAACTTGTGTTTGAGTCTGTTAGGAAAAACTAAGACATGGTTAAAACCTTTATTTTACTGACTGTGTCATTACTCTTAGTTTAAACCTGGCTTGCATAAAGGTGGACTTTCTTTCAAAGGGCAACAGTTGTGACGCTTATTCTGAACATGATTTGGAAAAAGGATAAATACCAATTATAAGAGTTTTGTTGTAATTTTAAAAGTCACTTTTTCTATTGTTAGATATTGAAATAAAGAAAAACCTGGAACTTATTAAAAATACCACAGATGTATTTTCTTCTGTGGGATGTTGAGATTTGTGGAAAATGATATAAATATAAAAAAGGTTCTAAAAAGCTTCCTCTGCTGTGGAAATTCAATACAGTTATTCCATGAGAAAATAAAAATGAATAAAAAAAACGTGTCTGTTATTATATCTGTATTCAAAAACTTTAGTTGGTTCTTTCTCATTTTTTAATCAAAAACCACTGTAGACGATCTGAAGAGCCACTTGTGGCTCTGGAGTCTCGGCTTACAGATTCCAACTCTAGTTTATCATGTAGATTTGTTTTAACTCATATTAAAAGAGAGAAAACATCTTATTTCATTTCATTTAGAATAGTTTCATGTATTTTTTCATTTTATGATCAAATCATGTTTAATTTAATTTAATCAATCTCTCTTAGCCAGAGAAACATTTTCATCCAGAATCTTTATTAGGAAGTCACCAAAGTCTTTTCCTGTCATAAAGCTGCCATGCCTAAATTAACCTTTAACCTCCGTTTCTTTTTCAGCAATTCAGACATTTGGCGCAGAGGCGGCGCTCTGCTCCATCCCTGGTCTTTGGGAAGGCCCTTGGGATGCCTTGGTCGCCTATCAGGTGCGAATCATTTATCTGAAGCAGTTGCTACATGTAAACAGGTGAAGGTGCATTTACACACGTGAACTAAGCTTCTGAACTTCAGATAGCGATAGAGTCTCCCTCGATTTGTGCTACTGTTGGTTCTCACGGTATCTTGCATGTTGTAACTGTGTAAGAGTCGAATTGAAAGCTGAAATACAGTTGATAATAAAGATAGATAAGAGAAACTAGGTTTCTGACAAAAAACTATCAATGTAGTCAAAAGCTAAACTAAAGGTTAAACCACCTGCTTTTCTTACTAATTCTATTATTAGTAAAGTTTCAAATGCCAACATATGTCACCACATTTGCTTAGTCTGCAGATGTTTTTTTTTACCAATGAACCTTAATCTTCCATCTAATACTGATTCATAAAACGAAACTGGTCAAAATACCTTGAACATAATGGAGCAGTTGAAAGGCATTTATTTCCGACGTATTTACAAAAACACATTTCCTGCAGTTTCCTTCTGAAGTTCCGACGAAGGTCAAAATCACAAAACGGCTGCAATCATTGGCACGAACTAATACTTTTAAAACCAGATATAAACAGTGGGGAAAGTCAGTCAAATGATATATTAGACTGAAGTATATACAAATAATATTTTCTCAAACTTCTACCTGTTTTGTGAAGAGTATTAGTCATAATTTCCTAAAATAATCCCAGGGAATGATGCTGCCACTCCTGTACTTCAAAGTTGGTGACTCTTTTCCTGTTTCCCTCCAAATGTTTACAACAGTTTTTATGGCCAAACACTTAAATTTTGGTTTCAGACCATAAGCCATGTATTTAGAAGTTAATGTTTGCAAACCCTAAGCTACCTTTTTATGTTTCCTGTGGAGTCATGGCTTCTTTCTCTCTGAGTGGCCTTTCAGTCCATGATGATACAACACTTAGCTTGATATGATGTTAGACAAGAAGAAAAGATTATAAAAATGTTTCTGTTAATATTTCTCCAAAATGAATTGGCCGTTAGTCCAAAATATTAACATTGATACAAGAATAACACAAAACACTCCACAGTAATCCTTTAATTTGCATGTTTGAAGAGCTTCTTGTGATCCTTTAGCCCAGTAAGAAGAACCGTGTTCTAGTTTAGGTGTCAGACTTCAGAAAGCAGAACTGGCTCAAAACTTTGAGACCAACGAGATCAGAGACCATTAACAGTTTTTTTTTTAAATTATTAATCTAAATGATTAATTCTGTGCTGATGATATCCATAATTTTCTCTGAGGTGTGGTGATTTTAAAATGTAACTACTCGACACTAATGCTTAGAAGAGATTCGTCACTGAATACGTTTTACTTATTTATCTTTTCGTAACTAAAAGAAGCGAAAACTAGTTTCTGTCTGTTTCACAGTTGGATGATACGATTTCTTGATCTATCACGTAAAAAGAAATTTAATAAAAGTTCCTGGTTGCAATCTAAAAAAAAAGTGAGAAAGTTTAAAGGTTATGAGTACTTTTGAAGCTACTCTACTTCTTCGCAAGCAGGTTTCTGTTTGACTCATCTGTGTTTGCTTCCTGTTTGCATTTGTTTATTACCTCTGTTTTTTGTGTTGCTTCATGGTTTATTTTGTAGTTAATTACATTTTTAGTGTCACAGAAGTAAGCATTTGCTTACATTATAAGAAACTTCATACAATGCAGTATTACACAATGCAGGACTGTTTATTAGTCGCTGCTAAACACGAGTAATAAAGCTGCCAAATATCTGCATCTTTCTCAAAATCAAACACACACAATTGACTTTAAAGCCTACTTTGTACATTTAGTAAGACACATTTTACTTTTAATAGTATTAGAATACTACAGAAACATAAAAATGTCCCCACACAAACAGGTGGCAGCACTCAATCTGAAAGTCACACAGAGCAAACAGAGAAAGAAGCACACTTCCTGTCCCCCCTGAACCCACCATGTGTGACACCTGCGACTTGCCACCATGTTTACCACTCGGCACAGCCAGGCCGGCCTCAAACACAGATGTCCCCCGAGGGGTTTTACCCACAAACGTTTTGAAACGATACCTTCAAACTACTCTTAAACTTTCCTCTCCGCCAGTTTTATGTGTCGACAGGATCTGAGTGATTTAACAACATTTGTTTGTTACGGTTTCAGTTCGCGCTTGGATTTCTATGATTCAAGCCATTTGAATGTGGCAAACAAATACAGTAATTCTTAGAAAAAAACCTGTAAATTGTTATACATTTTTTTTTGTACATAAAAGTTTCCTGAAGAAGTTTGTAGTTTAGATGTCAAACTCATTTTCATTTTGGGCAATATAAAGATCACAAATCTCAAAGGACCGGTTTTGGTAGAAAATATTGATAAAACTACCCATATTAAAAAATAACTATCTCTGCATTCGATGAGCTCCTCTTAAAGTTAAATAATATTTTCACATATGTAATTTGGCATTATACAGATAAAACTGATTTGATTTGATTGATAAAACAATATTTAAGACACAAATGTTATTTGAAGGTTCTAAGTATGTCGCCTTTTCGAGACTAGATGGCCACAAAAACAGTCTTTACAGATCACCTAAAATAAAATTAAAGCTTTAGTCTTACTTTAGGAAATACGTTTAACTGCTGTACCCTGTTTTGATGTTTTGATAGAACCGTAAAAGCCAAGAAAATCCACCATGACACCTTCTGCCTACTTTAAATCTTGTTAAGTCACACATGTGGGCTCTGTATCGACCCATCTTGTTTGTCAAACGTTTAACCTTTCCAAGCCGTCATCATCAGGGGGCTGCGCGGAGACCCCCGCGGTGGTGGGTGACTTCTTCAGCGCAAAGGAGACAAATGTCAGACACAACCCACCCTCACAAGACCAGCCAGTCAGTCAAAGCTCAGACATTCGACATCATGGAGGGGGGCGGGCTGTGGGTGTTAGTTTCACTCTGGTGGGTACGCCACTGACGTACACATGCTGAGGTTAAACGCAGTTTTTATTCTTCCGTTTTTTTACTACTATACAGTGTTACAAGTGAAAAGCGCTGTCTTTAACATAAAGCAAACATTTAACAAAAAAGCTATGAATTACAATTTTATATCTAAATAATAATTAAAAAGCTTTGTCCATGAGACAAAGAAATGCAGTTGAATCCTTGATGTTTTGGTGTGAAAAATTATGACCTCATTTAAAAATTTTTTTTCCAATTCAACCTCAAAAAGCAAGCAAACTCAGCTTCGTATTGACAACACCACAGCTTTTGCTTTTCTTTTTTTTTAATGTTGTTTATTTTAGAGTACCAAAAACTCTCACACTGTTTTATTTGTCTGCGTGTTATGAGTCATCGATCGTAGGCCACAGAGAAAACGCAGGGAAACCACCTCCGTGGAAGCGATTTGAATTTCTGCTCCTAACCAAGAGGCAGTGGGATGAGCGAACACCAAAGCTGGTTTCACACTCGCTCAACATAAACCAGTTTGATCTCCGCTTCAACTAGCTTAGACACAAACATCAACAAAAGTGACTTTCCTGGATTCGGTTAATCACTTAAGCCAACTTTTCCATAACAAATATGATCCATTTGTTTATCATATTTGACAATCTTATTCATGTGTTTATTGGAAAATGGTTGCTAGTTTTTTGTTTTTTTTTCACACAGAGGGAAAATGAACCCCTTTGAAGTTTAGCTGCACCTTTGTGTGGTGCTTCCTGATACCTACAGAGTCCTTTCTTCCCTGAGTAGGCAGTTTAGTTTTAATGTACGCACACAACTTCATCTATGTGAATTAGAATGTCATTAAGACGTTTATTTCAGTAACTCGATTCAAAAAATGAACTGAATCCTATAGAGTAACTCCACACAGAGTGACATATTTCTAATATTTCTGGTAATTTTGATGTTTATGGATTACAGCCGAGAATAAATACAAAGTTCAGTTTTGTGGAAAACTAAATTAGGCCATAAGACCAATAAAATTTGTTTTAAAAATTATGTAAAAATAGCAACCTAGTGAAAAGTATGTGCTTGCAATTTTTTGTCTGTGTTCTTTTTCCATAAATTACTGCTTTGGTGCGTCTCGTGCATATTTTCTGTGGGATTTAGGTCAGATGAGTCAGGTCGCAAACAAAGCATAGTGACACCATGGCCTTTAAAGTGAGTATTGTTACTGTTGCGTGGGTAGATGCCAAGACCTGCTGAAAAGCTGCTGATTTTCCAAAAATTAAATCCAAAATTTACCTGAAAATAGGACTTCGGACCACAGAGCAATTACACTTTTTCCCCTCAGTTCATGTAAGTTGCTTCTAACGTTGTCTCTCATTCAGTCTAGTCTGTATGAATCTCTCACAAATTCTTGAATCAGCATTGCTACAAGATTCAAAGGATGCCACTTTACGTGTCAATGGGCATTTTTTTCTTCCACTTAACGTTCCCATGATATTCTTGGGTACACAGCAATAAACACTTAAAGTCAACACACTGAATGTAACAGAAAGTTATCTTTTTGAGTTGAATTTCAATCGTAGAGTACGTTACTGAGGTGAAGTATTAAACTTTTTAATGATCTCCTAAAGCATCGAGTGAACTGACTTTTATTAGGATGTGTCTGTAACTCCTCACAACAAATTAAAATTTGCCCTCATCTGTTTCTGCTCAGACAACCGGTTAGAGGAAGTTGAAATATTTTGAAGTGCCTTTGAAATATGAGCACTGTACGTGTTAAAGTTTAATATAAAAGCTTGTATATAGAGAACGTAGCTGCATTAACAGTTTGTTTCACGCTTTTGCTTTAAAAGCCTGAGTTTCAAAACAGCAAAACTTTTTTAAAACCTTATAACTTTATGTAAAGCACAACCACAAGTACATTTTTCCAAATTATAAAAATGAACAACTATCACACTCAACATTTTAATGTGCATGGCTGAATAGCAACCTAAAATTAAGCTGCTGATTGTACCCTACAAGTCGCAACTATAATTGGTTCAGCATTTTGCAACCATATAAACTAAGTGAGCTGCCTATCACTACAGTTCTACAGTATTTAAAGACTCCGCTGGGCATTTGTACCACCGACAGAGCTGTGAAAAGTATTTGACACCTTAGAGCTTTACTGTGTGTTTCACTTACATGTTTCAGATCATAAAACTTATAATGTGTCCTGAAACAGCAAAGCTGCCCCAGAAGGTCATGATGGCAATATAACAACTGTTGGTGTGACTTTTTTGTTGTTGTTAAACCCCAAATGCAAAGGGTGTTTCACAAAAACAAAGGTAATGTTCTACCTTTGTCTTTCCATTAAACAGAACAATTTCTCAGAAGTTTGGAGCATCATCACAATATATTTTAGTCTTTGTTAAGATTAGTTTCTGTAATACATAAAATGTGACATTGAAGTAAAACAGAAGTAGACAGTAAGGGGGGAAATGCTTTTTTCCACAGAGGAGCTAGTTGGGGGCAGTGTCAGCATTATAGTTAGCTAGGCTAACTGTTATCGTCTTTATTAGGACAAACGATTTTAAACTGTTGCAAATGTTGCATAAAATACCAATTTGTGTTGTCCAGAAAAACTACAATTCCAATCTGTGACATTTTAAAATAAAATGTAAAGAATAAAGCCAAAAATGTTAACATGTCTGCTTGTTGGCCTGTTAGCTTATCAACCTTATAGTCACTTTTGTTGTGATGTTTTGCTAACAGAGCAATAAGGTTTTTCAAAGCATCAGCGTAATAATTACAATAGCTATATTACCTCTAGTAGTCAATATGAATGCTTTTACATAAATAGAGAATAACTAAGTCAGTTAAAATGTTAATTATATGTCATAAGTGAATACAGGTCTTTTTATATTTTTGTGCTGTTATATAAAGGGTTTTGGTTTTCTCCTGCTCGCCACTATAAGTTTTGTACAACACTTCAAATCAAAGAGAACCATATAAGATCATACTGTAATTGAATACATTTCATTTACAATTAAATTATGAAACACTTTAATGCTAATGATCGATTCCAGTATTGTTCTTCAAATTCTCTACAACCAGAACTCTCTACAGTATATGACTATTTGAGGTTTTTACTACTCGAGACATCGAGACATGAATAAAAAACAAACCAACAATAATAAGATATAGAAAGCAGGAAGTGACCACAACTTGTCTGGATTTACCCTTTTTACACTTGCTGTTTCAAACTGATACTAACCCAGACCATCTGCTTTGTTTTTCTAACGATGACCTTTACAAATATTTTAATTTGAATAAGGTGATTTCCCAGCAGTTTAAGGATTTGAACTTCTCTTTCCATTAAAGGCAGGATCTAGGAAACAGCCTTCATTCTTCTGGAGTCTGTTTGGCCTGGTGAGGCTGAGAATCACTCATGCTTTGGTGTGTGTCCTCTGCCTCAGGGAAGAGGCTCCCTGCTGGGTGTCTGTTGAACAGAGTCCATTTGTCCTCGGTTTGACCAGCGAGAACGGTGAACTGCTGCTGGACGAATGCGTCCAAGTCACTGAGGGGACAAAGACGAAGGAGCGACACCTGTTTCTTTTCACTGATGTCCTCATCTTCGCAAAACTAAAGTAAGTTTTCCCTACATTCCTATGGATATATCGTTTGAATTAATCTGGAACAACAAGTTGAGTGTAGTTGATTTATAGGCTTAGAGTTTTTTTTCTTCTTCTTCTTCTTTTTGACGGGCTTTCTGTTGAAAATGCCACGTGTTTGTTACAGAGTAAAAATAGGGAAGCAGAAACAAACTGTGTATTTTTGAACTGCATGCTTGGACTGTTGGGGAATCTCCCAGCAACGCAGCGCAGTCACACTGAGTTTACATTAATAGAAAAAGAAAGCAGGGTGCTTCCCTGTGAGAGACGTTATTAGATGGGGAAATCAAAGGTATTCCCTTGAAAAATTTGTTTTTCTCAGATGCCTATTTCAAACCATAAGTAACTTTTATCTGCTTTTAATTTAAGCCAAAGTGCCGATACAGGTACAACATAAATTAACTCTAGTAAAAGGTATCATCTAGCTTTTTTAACCCACAGAACTACTTTAAAACAAACCTTAACAACTTTCACTGTAACTTGTCTCACAGCTCAGTTTAGATCCGATCTGTTTGTAAAAGTCGGTGGAAGTTTTATAGCTTTTGAGTGGGAGGATTTTCACAGTCATCTCTGTACCACAACCTACCCACTGTTCCTGTAGGTATGCACAGCTGGGACAACAGCACGCTACAGTAAACCTGTTCATGAAAACCAATTACTTCCACAGATGACTTTGCGCATCATTACTCATTTTTCAGATTTCTTTTGGAGAGACTGTCAGTTGTTTGGTCACGTGATAACAGTTGTTTGCTGTGTCTGGCTTTAGACACTTTACTTTCAAATTTTTTGATGATTACTTTAGTTGGGGAAAAGATGGTTGGAAAACAGCTTTGTATCATTCGCTGTTACAGTTGAAGATGCAAAACCCAATTGGAAAATTGTACAAGGCTATGACAAGGCTTTTTGTTTATATACCACTGAGAAT